TTCAGTGCTCTCCATCTCCTCCTGCAAGCCAGAGCAGCCCTCAGCTGGCTCATGAGGTCACTTGCTCATCCCCGGCCCAATCTCCAAACCCCTTGTTTGCAAACCTCAACTCAAGACCGTACTGTACGCTCGAAGCAAGGTATCTTAAACAGCCACCGTGATGTCATCAAGGCTTCCTGGTCCTCCTTGGCACAGTGCTGAAACGGAGGAAGGGCTGTCAGGCCTGAGCAGCTCTCTCAAAGCTTGTTGCTAGGCTCAGGCCTGGCATTCTGTTTGGGGGTCCGAGCCGGGAGGTGTGGAGTCAAAGCCAAAAGCCTCCAGTGAGTATCTCTCCAGCCGTTATCATGCCGAGCGCTGTGATTTTGACGCTTTTGCTCTGTGGGGAGGCTTCCCCTACTCCTTCTGTTATGTCTCCCCTTCGAGTTGATTGCATCTCGAGGAGTGCGGGACTGGCTGTGCATAGCCGGAACGTCCAAACTTGAAACCAAGCCAGAGCGGTTGAAAGCAACTAGCCCTTGGTCCTCCAACGGCCTCGTCCCAAAGCAGTGAACTACTTCTTCTTTTTTGGCAATCATGATGAAGAGCTGGCTTGTTCTGGGTATATGCACACTCGCTGGTTGACCGAGGTATTCAAGACGATGGTTGCTTCAGGGCCTAAGTCGTTGGTCGGTGTCTATTTACATCTGTGCGCTTCTTTTTGCATGTGTCGGAGCTTCTTGAGAACTCCAGAAGTGATACTGCGCTGATACTGCTTTTTACGGTAGCAAAGTAAAGACACCAGCAGTGGGAACCTCAAACCCAAAGCCCTTCTTCCGCTCCAACCCTCTCACGAATGTGAGTTCTGCTGAGCTTGACTGTTAGGCGGAAAAAGGGAAGCAACAAAAATGCAGCCCTAAAAGCACAAAGCCCTAAAAGCCTAGACTCTGAGCCCTAAGACCCTGACCTCGGCGAACAGAAAAAAGGGATGCTTAAGACAAAATAAAACCCTAAGATCTTTTTTCTTGTATGCTATGGTATACTACACTATACTATACTATACCATAGTATAGCATACTATAGTAGAGTATAAGTATGCAGAATCAAGAGCCCGTGGCTTGCAGGCACTGGCCAACCGCGGTCTCTCCGCCCTTGGCTCTCCCAAAGCTCGACCCAAGGCTGCGGCTTTGGTTTTTGTGTTTTTTGTAATGGCTTTAGCGGGTTTAGGAAGTTTCAGGGTCACCCAGCGGCTTCAGGGTTTCGGGGTCTGAGGTTGTAGGGTTAGGTCTGTTGGATTCATGGGTTTAGTGTTCCTGTCTTTTGCTTTGGAGTTCAAGCTTTTGCTTACAGGGTCGAGGCTACAAGAGTCCCTAAACCCTAATAAACGATCGGTCCCCAACACCCTAAACCCTAAACCCTAAACCCTAAACCCTAAACCCTAAACCCTAAACCCTAAACCCTACCCTGAACCCTAAACCCTAAACCGCAGAACTTGAGAAGAGACTGCAGGAGTCTGCGGGTCAGGCTTTGGGAGCTGTTTCTAAAGGCCCCCTGGTTTCGACTGCGCGGGGTCCACTCGAGGAAGCGACCCCCACCCAGCCTAAACCCACATAACTCACAGTAATTGCACTTACAAAAGGCTCGCAGTAGACTCCCAACACCGCCGGAAGCTTGGACCCTCATCCTACCGCCTACAGAAGACCAGTGGACCCTGAACCAAGCATTGAAGTGTCAGTGGGCAGGTCCAGCTTCCGGACAAATGCGCCGTGAGCTCGGCAACAGTGCTAAGGTAGCCGAGAACTCGAGCTGAGTCTCAACCGTAAGTTGCATCAGGGGCGGCTGACAGCCTGTCTTTCATGATGCGAGTAAGAAACTTAGGCGTTGCCGATAGCATGTCAATGACTTTCTGCACGGACTCGAATCTGTTGTTGGCACGGTAGCCATTATTATCTGCTACTGCGGTCTCATTCTCCCATTGGCAGTTGCAGAAGGACTAAGACCGTAAACAGCAGCTCAAACTCATGCGCTTGGAACCTTGCGGAATTGCCCGAAGATGCAAGATCATAAAACCAAACGTACGAGGGTAGCCGCGATGTAGATAGGTACTTATGTGCTTCGACAGAGGTCGTTGCTGAAAGGCGGAAGGACGCATGGTGGCCCGAGGCGTTGCCTGTGCAACAGGCTTTTCGTTTCAGATGGGTAGCGGGTACACCAAAAAGATGTCCTGTAGCAAAGAAGTGTCATAGAAAAACTGTAGGGATAATTAGGGACAGGGATACTGGTAGTCACCGGCATTTTAGAGAATCATCACGAGCGCTCACCATCGTCATGACAGGAGGCAGAGAAGTCTTACTCGTGGTAGCAACAATGATGATCCAGTGGTGCGGATCGCGTTGCTTTCGTTGCTAATGACAGTGCAGGTAGCCTGTTGGGGCTCTACTTCCACCAGCATTAACTGTCTGAGAGCCCCAGGTTGAGTTTTTGTGGTTTGAGGCATTGAGACCAGTAAAATTGAGTTCCTCGGCTTTGTCTGGCGGGGGCGGGGTGTAGGGATGATGAGATCTAGGTGTGTTGACTGATGCATTGGCCTGGCGTAGAAGCAAGTTCGAGACCCAAATCTCAATCCAGAGCAGAACACCAACTGGGAGAATGATCCTCCACACCGCCCCTGGGCCACGAGAAGCTGGACATGTTCGGATCCCAACAAGAACGGCTGAGATCACAATCAAAGTGCACCATCGACAATCCCTTGTCCTGGAAAGATTGAATTACTTACCGTTGGTTAGTAGGGAATGGAAGAATGGCAGCAATAGCAGCTATAATTGTATCCCATTCCTCCATTCCCTGCTAACCAAAGGTAAGATTAGGGGGATGTGGCTGCTTAAACATAGATATATACGTCAGAGAGTTCGGTCCGGACCAAGAAGGGTCCCTCGGTTTCCGAGGTCGAAAGCATTGTACCAGTGTCCCTGCCAGTATAGCAACAAAAGCCTGCCGAGAGCAATATCACTGCGTAGGGCGTAGGAGAGAGTCTTAGGATGTTGAGGGAAAAGAGCTGGCACAGATAAGCCAATATGGGATTTTCCGAAAATCAGGGGTACCTTATGTTGGGGTCCTTATAATAAGGATCCTACTATGTAGGGTACTATATTAGGGTCCTCCATTTTCGGAAACTTCCACATGAAACTCGTCCAGAGTCCCCGGTGCCAGCTCAATCTCGGCGCCTCCGGCGAGCTCCGTTTCGCGGCGCGCGGCGCGGTGAACCGCAGCAGGTGCTTAGAGGATCATGGGGCTTAGTCAGTAGGTTATAATTGGAGTTATAAGTCCCCGAAGTGGGGTTGTCCTAATTATAACCTACATATAACCTTATAGTTACTAAGTCCCATGAGCCTTCAAGTGCAAGGGGCTTTGCAGAAGACGCATATGCATTGGAAGATGTTCCATAACATCCGAAAATGATAAGCAGCTTCATGCAAGTATACCACCGTTCCTACAGACATACCTGCAGACACACGAATGCACTTCTGTCGCACGAAACATAAGATTACAGGCATTTGCACATGCCTACATATGTATATATGCCTTCAAAATGCACGTGTGCTTGAGCATGTACGTGAGCATATGTTGCATCTTATGCGCAGAATGTCAACTCTGGTATGGCAGACAGCAACACTGACGTGGGCTACTAAGCCCAGTGAAGCCGCACGAAATTCGCATATTTAGGAAGCCCGGTTAGTGCCGGTGCGTCTTCGACTCAAGTGCCTCCTTGCAGAAGCAGGAGTAAGTTGACATCATGATGCACGGTTGCGGGTTTGGGCTTCTGACTTCTGATGCCTCAGAGCCACACCTAGCTTTGGAAATCATCCATGCGGAGTCCCAAGAAGTGGTGTAGAGTCTAGAGCTTCCAATTCAGCGTTCAGGTTTTGCCTGAGGGCTATCTGAGCTTCGGCTCGTGGTCGTAGTTCTCCTTTAGCTGCTGGAAGTCCAAAGACACAGACTCAGACCGGCCCTGCATGATTGAACTCTCATTCAGGAATCATTCTTGACAGTCTCCTCGCTGTCCTGTCTGGCATTGTTGTTATGAGAAGTCTTCTTCCTATTTCGAGTACCACTGCTACTGCTGCTGCTCCTGCTTCTCCTCCTCCTCCTCTTCTTCTTCCTCCTCCTACTACTCCTATCAATTACTATTACTATTACTATTACTACTACTACTCCTCCTCCTCCTGCTGCTGCTGCTGCTGCTTCTGCTGCTTCTGCTGCTTCTGCTGCTTCTGCTGCTGCTGCTGCTGCTGCAGCTGCGGCTACTACTGCAAGAACTACAACGCCGAAATCCTTGCAACGGCACCAGGGCGGTCCCTCCGGTGGAAGGCGATGGCCGGGAGCTGCTGAGCAGGCCAGGGCCAAGAGCGCCAAGAGCTGAATCGGATCCACGGACATACGGTTAGGGTTTAGGGGTTTAGAGTTTAGGGTTTAGGGTTTAGAGGTTAGGGTTTAGGGTTTAGAGTTTAGGGTTTAGAGTTTAGGGTTTAGGGTTTAGAGTTTAGGGTTTAGGGGCTTAGAGTTTAGGGTTTAGGGTTTAGAGTTTAGGGTTTAGAGTTTAGAGTTTAGGGTTTAGGGGTTTAGAGTTTAGGGTTTAGGGTTTAGGGTTGAGGGTTTACGGTTCAGCAGCAGGAGTTGGAGTAGCAGTAGGAGTAGGAGTCGTAGTCGAAGTCGTCCTCGTGGTGGTGGTGGTGGTGGTGGTGGTGGTGGTCGTCGTCGTGGTGGTACTAAGAAGAAGCGAATCATGGCATTAATTTGGCTCGGGGCTGAGGCTGGAGGGTTTCGGGACGGTCTGCTTCTGCGAATCCTGTACTTACGGGCATGGGACTGCCAAGGGTCACACAGTGCAGGTGTCGGTATCGTTGCTTGTGGATTGATCTATGGAATGGGAAGTGAGGTGCCAGGGCCCCAGCACTGCCTGGCCAAGCAGGTTCCCTTCTTGCCTTGTGTAGACCGTCAGTTCAGACGGCAGTCGAGCGCTTGCCATGGAGGTACTTGAAGTCACAAGCACAGAGATGTGCGTGCCGAGCCTTCGAGCATACAAGGTGCTTGGAGACGATATGACCCTAGAATCCATCCGTCAACTGGCATGGGAGCTTGATGACCTTGACGGACGCGACTCGATCCAACACCCAGAGTGGCAGGCACTCTACATGCAATTCACGAGCTCCCATGTGCTTGGAACAGTTCCATACAGATGGGAGTCGCAAGCCCGGACTTACACCCACGCACAGCTTCTTGAGGTGGAGTTCGATTCTCTGAATGTCGTTGTGCTCGACGGGCCACTCCTTTATGATGGCGGCGTGTGTGCCGAGGAGAAAGCAGCAGCCGTGAAGGTTCACCTCAACATGTGCAGTGATCAGAAGGGGCTACTCATGCACGAGCTGGGAAAGAGAGGAAAGGCCGCACTGGTGCGGGAGACTGAAGAGGAGTGGGAGCTCTTAGTTCCACACAATCTCCTGTCTCAGCTTAGTTTCTCGGAAAAGGTCATCGCACGTTGGCGCAGGCACCAGACACTGCCAGTGTCAAGCCATTGGCAAGATGCTGAGCAAGCCGGAACAGACCTTTGGAAGCTGTGGGATGACACTATTGAGACCCCGTGTATTCCCGACCTCGATCTGTCATGGCTGCGGCACGAGCCCGGCATGCCCGTGGTGGAGGATGCCAAAGAGAAGGTCTAAGCCCGTAGAGTGTCCGTAGCGCAGTAGCTGTCCACGGCACAATCCCCGTAAGTTTCGATGTAGCAGTCGCTGTTGCGTCCGCCACACGAGCCGACGTTCATCGTCCGCCATACGCGCCGGCGTTGTCGCATATGCACTCACATATGTACAGCAGTTCAATTCCTGAAGTCCCCGGCCAATGTAGCAGTTTCGCACATGCGCTTTGCCAACCCTCCGCCCGGCGCGGCCCTAAACCCCAGGCCCCAAGCGCTCGAATGCCCCAAACCGTCTGCTGGGTTCGGCCCCGGCAAGCCTCCAAGCCTCCAGGCTCATGGAAATCAGCAGCGCCTGCCAGAAGGCTCCGGGTTTTCGGCTTTGTCTCGAAGAGGTGAAGATGTGGTTTCGGGGACTGTGTAGTCCATACAGTTCCGGAGTAGTATGACTACCGGGGCGTGAGGACTCAGTCAATGGTAATATCTGCTTACAGTCCATCGATACTTGATTCGAAAATACATCCAAATCCCAGTCCAACTATGAAAGCTCCGAGTGGTAGAGACTGAGGGTTGAGGGTGTCACGGTTTAGGTCTGAGGGTTCAGGGGCTAAGTTTCTATGCCTTGGCCTGGGAACTTAGTTTTGAGTTTTTTAAAGTTTACGGCTTTACGGATCCAGTACTTACGGGCAAAGGGTTTAGATTTGGGGTTTTTTGGCTTACTAGAATCGTAATGTAGGGTCCATGCTTTAGAGGCTTAGGGTTTGGGGTTTAGGACATGTGTCTTGGGGGCAGCAGGCTGTCGGACGCCGCTGAAGTGCTCGAGGGGGGTCCGGATTCCACAGCCTCTCTGATGTGGTAAGCTACACACCCAGCGGAATCCGTTTTCTAGACCTCGGCGAACGGTCTAAGAAAAGAATTTTAAAAGCCCTGAACCAAAACCCTAAGCCCTAAACCTTACAAGCCCACGGTTTTCAAACAAAAACAACAACCTTAAAGCCTAAACCTTAAAACCCCTAAACCCTAAGTATGTCTCCTCGACGTCTTTAACCCAATATAGCACCCTAGATAGTGGGATCCTTACTACAAGGATCCCCAAATAAGGCACCCTAATTTTCGGAAACTCCCATAACCCATTCTGGCAGGTACAGCCCGGCACGAAGCAGACGGTCGGGAACATGGTCATCCAGCGCATCGTCCACAAGGCCGCGATCGGCCTGGCGGCGATCTTTTCCTTGGAGGTTCATGGCTGCTTAGAAGTGGATAAGCTATAACTATAGTTTTCCTATGATCGCCTACTCATAATCCCACTTATAACTTCTAAGTAGGATTATGAGTAGGAGAACTATAGTCATAGCTTATGACTTTAACTACCAAGTCTTGATGCTTGCCAAACTCTTACGACTCATGCTGGGGTTCCACACGGTTCTGCTTCTCATCTGAGCCTTCAGTCTAAAAGTCACTTTCAGGTTGCCCTTAAGCTACCCGAACTGCTCCAACAGTCAAGGCCCAAGTCCCCGGACCTCTGAGCAATGCCCCCTTGCAGGAACACTGCGCAGTTTGGTCCGCACAAGTGGGGACCGACCCGGTCATGTTCGTGGCCTCGCAGGTGGCGGAGCTGTGGATTTTGGAGGGGTCAGGAACACGTCCAGGATTGAGAAACAGAGGGGACTTAAGCTCAGAGGTTGGTTCTCTTCGGGTTTTCGGGGGATTTCGTGGTCTCGATGCGAGGTGGTCCTCGCCACGCCGGAGCCTCCAGAGGCAGTGCTCTGGGCTCTGTACTCTGCCGAGGAGATCGGGAAGGGCGGCGGGCATGTGAGCTTTTGCGTCGGATCTTGCATCATTATTCCAATCAGTCTCATGCTGGACTTGTCTTTGCTGTGTTTGTCACGAAGGATTCGATATTGTCATAAGCCGCTGTCATGCTCGCAATTCAACAGTGTCTCGCATTGCCGTGGTGTTCCGTTTTCAGAGGGACGATTGGTGCTCTTGCCCTCATCGGCACGGCTGGAGCCGCTTCACCACCCCGACCACCGCCGCCGCCGCCATCCGCCGCCGCCAACGCCACCGCCACCGCCCGCCACCACCACCACAAGTAGCAGAAAAAGAAGGCGAAGAACAGGAATTACTATCACTAACTAGTATTGGGAGTTGCTTACCAGGAGAATGCTGATGACTATGTATGCAAGATGCCGATGCCGGCAATACTTCGCACAACAAAAACCAACAGTCACGATCACCATGGCAGTGACTGCTGCCCGAAGTTCAGCGGCCCGATCCAGGAGCGAATGAAGTGGGATGGTGGCTCCTTTTCAGCCTACGAGGCGTTCAGACCGTTTGGAGCCCGTCCAAGTGGTAATGTCCTGTATGGTCCCGCGTTTAAGGTCTCTGGTCTTTGATCTGGGATGTTGCGGTAACATGAGCTACACGCAACAATGCCCAGTTTCGGAAGCCTCAAAATTCGCGACAGACTAGGCTCGACTATGGCACTTTGAGAGTCATTCGTACTTAGGTTCCCATGGGAAAATACCGCAAGGTACTTAGAACCCTAGTTTAAAAAAACCACCTCTGAAAGCCCAACATGAGAGCCCCACAGTCCTGCTCTTGAAACCCTGCAAAACAAGCCTTTGGGACACCCTGGAGCACTGGAACCAACCCCGAAGGACACTTAACTTACCTTTGGTTAGCAGGGAATGGAGGAACGGGGTATATTTATAACTACTGTTACTACCATTCTTCCCTAAACCCTAAACCTTAAACCCAAAACCCTATTACTACCATTCTTCCATTCCCTACTAACCAGCGGTAAGTTAACCCCGAAGGAAGGGCCTGAGGATCCAATCTTGGCGACGCCTTCCTGGGGTTCGGGGGTGGGAACGTCGACATGCTATGTTCAACGACACGGAAGAAGGGACGCCTTCGTTAGGCAGTACACCTTAAATTCGCGTTTAATTTAGGTATATATATATATATATATACATACATACATATCAACCTATCAATCTGCAAAGCCGAACCCTAAGCTGAATCCTGAACCCTGGCAACTCGAGCTCCTAAAGGTCGTTCCAACCCCCACGCCAAGCCCCACAACCGCCAACCGACACGAACCCGGTGCATTCAGGTTTTGGGTGATCCACAGGCGCCCGGGCAACAGAATGCACCTCCTTGGTGTGGTTCATAACGCAGAGCATCTGTTGTTTCGGGTTGGAGCTACACTGCTGGTGATTTTCTTAGGGATACTTTATTGAGGCTTCCCAGTCTTAACCAGGTGCATGCTCCGTCGTGCAGGAGTTTTGGGGGTTAGCCTTCCGGATCCTGGAGCCGGAGGCCCAACTAGCTTTTTCCCTAGCCCAGAGTCCGAAACTTGGCGGGAAACTCTGAATTTCTGACCAACCATCAGCTGACAGAATCCAACTCAAGGATTATCTTCTAGATAAGAAGAAGAACGGACGAAGACACACCGGACAGACTCCTCCGAATCTCGCAGGACTCCAAGTTTTTCCTAGCTTAGTAGGCGGATGAATAACTGATTTCAAGCTTACTTGGAAGACTTGAACACGTTGGAGGTGCAAGAGGCCACCGGAGCTCTCTGCGATTTCCTCTACTGCCGCATCCACCTTGTCACAGGTCCGCCTATGGGTGTCGCACTGATTAGTACTCGTGCCTTGAACATGTGTGTTGCTTAGCAGGGTGGCATCCTTAAATCACGATACAATCGTGTATCGCAACTTCTGTGCAAGCTCCATGATAGTTTCCTGGATAATCCTGTACAGGTATCCCCTATTTCGTGTAGCGATTGAAGGCTTCTTTACGTCGCATCTCTTGCACGGACTTCGAATGAACAAGACGACCGGGGCAGCACTGCCACGAGAAGGGCAAAACGGGCATTCTGTTCTGGTTTTGTCGGGTCGAGAGGCAGTCTCCGGATGATGATAGTGGTGGTATTCATGAGGAGGATGTTGGTTTTGCGGCCGGAGAGCGATGGATACCTTTGATGCCTGGCAGGCGTAACGGATCGGGACATGGTGCAGGCAGGGCCGCCGTTAAGGTCTGGAGGTTAAAAACCGGACGTCGAAGCTGCTATTGCCAGCTTTCCGGCAGAGATCATGTCTTGCATCTTCGCCATGAGCTGACTCATGGTTATCCTGATTGTGACAGCCAGCATCGCATGCGTCGTTAATGGTGCTAGCTGAGCTTCCTACGACCTCCGATCAGGAGTAGGAGTAGCAGGAGCAACAGCAGCAGCAGGGGAGTTCTCACCCTAAACCCCAAACCACAGACACACTCGAAATCCTAGGCGCTGCACGCTAAAGGCCCAAAGCCCCACAGCATCCCACAACCCCTCAAGCCCTGGAGTCCCGAAAGCCCTGGAGTCCCAAAGCCAAGAAACTCCCTGCGTTACCATCGCGCCCGCCCCGTGCAGGAGCGCTTTCTGCTCCGCCTCGCAGACCGAGGTCCGACCTCCGAGGAAAATCATACAGGGTCCCTGCATGTAACCCAAGTTTAGAGATCTCGCGATGTCGTGGCGACATTCGGCTTTGAAGCAAAAGCTCCGGAGTGGCGTTGATTTGGGCGAGATCGACAGGGGCTTCACAAGTCAATCTCACGATGAGGGGGCGATTTTGTTAAGATCCTGCCCGGTTGATGAATGTCTCACTGGAGAACCTTTGCCCGGTATGCTTGACCCCAGGCTCCCAGAATTACCACATGCCAAGCCCTAAGCTAGAACTCCCGAAACCCTAAACCCCAAAACCCCTAAACGCCTAAACCCTAAACCCTAGCCCCTAAACCCTAAACCCTAAACCCTAAACCCGGAAATCGCAGCTTCCAGGCTACGCCATAGCCATCCGTGCCTGCAGCGAGGACCAGTCGCGAGCTCTGGGGCTCGGGGCTCAGAGCCCGAAGCTTCGGTGGAGTCAGAGATCATGGTTCCTTTAAAGGGGTCTATAAGGGTTACCAGAGTCTATAAGGGTACTATGATGTAGGGCCTTAATAATTAGAACAAGCTTTTTGGGGCCCTTTCTAATGGTTTGGCAGTTTGGCGAAGCACTCTTAGGCGTACAGTAGAAGCCCAAAGTTGGAAATCCCATAGCCTCAATTATGAAGAGTAACCCAGAGTAATGGAGAGGGAATCCCAGCACTAATTGTCCTTAATCCGGTTTCCAACTTTGTGGGGTTTACTGTAGGGGGTTCAGGGATCGGCTTTAGGAGGGGGGACGTTTGGGCTTCAGGTATTCGGTGGCTGATGGGCCTTGTTTCTGAAGGTTTGGTTGCTTCGTGCCGGGTCGACTGCGCTGCTAAGAACTACCGCTAGTCGTGATGCGTTCCTCGTGGTGCTCATTGTCCTCATGAAATTAGTATCATATAGTGCTGAACATGAATAAGTTGGAATACGATGTACCAATGTACCAATATGTAGTGGCCCGGCACTCCGGCATTAGTTTCTCGTGCCTTTCAGAGGCCAATCCAGCCAGAGCTTTTCGATTTTCGATGCCCAAGGCCTCCGCTCCGAACCCTGTCACAAGAACAAGGTTTCCGACACACTACAGGACCGCCCCAAAAATCCAGTGGCAGCAAGCTTTTTCGGCCTTCAAGCCTTAAAGCGGCAAAGCTTTCCTTTACATCACAAAAAGCCCAAACGCAATGCCAACTTCAAGCCTTCAACCCTAAACTCCTAACCCACACGTTTGGCACAGCCCACGAAAAGAACCAAGAGGAGCCCACCCCCAATGGCCCGGAGAGGCGAGCCCCGGTCTCCAGCGTGGTGCGCGCCCGAACCATCATCTCCGGGTGCGCTCGGGGGGTCGTGAAAGGCTTTTGGGTTGAGGGCTGTCAGAAGGGTAGTTGTCAAAATTAAGATCCCTTTTTGGGGTTCCCTTAATTATTGGTGCCGTATTATAATAGGGACCCAAAGAGGGACCATAATTTTGACAACCACCCAAAAGGGTATAAGGTTGGCACTGGGGTTTAGCGGTTGGCTCCGGGATTAGGGCTGTCGATTCAGGCGTAGGTTTGGACTTCAGACTTCATGCGTGTGGGTTCTTACAACCTCGCTCTATGGGAATTTCATAGAACCAGGAGAGTAGTGGAACCCTTCATTTCGGTTCGCTTATCGTTCCTTGAACGCAGAAGACTGTTCAGAACAGGCACTGGGCCTTAAGTTGCCCTACGTAGCCAATTATACAGAAAAGCCATCGTCTGTAGAGCGTCCCGTTCACACCGTAGCTCCCTTTGCTGCGACACGGATAAGAGCTTCTCAAGCTTTGGGATAGGTTTGCGGTACTTAAGAATCAGTTGTCTACTAACATGTAGGCTCTAGACACAGAGTGTTGCTTTTCCTAGAGTAACAGAATGCCCAGATCCATGGCATGCTTCGTGGCCAGGTACATCATCCAGCCGAATCCGTCAGGAGAAGGCAGCAGACTACTAAGCTCTTTCGCTTTTCGCGACACATGAGCAGATAGTTCAGATAGGTCTTCGAGAACCGTCCGTTCTGGAGGTGTTCTCCAGCAGAAGATCAACTTTCGAAGTTCAGATCTGGGCAATGCTTTCAGCCTTCCGCAGTAGCAGTTTGCTTCCAAGCTCTCGGCTCAGCTCGTAAGACCCTGGGTGATATCATCGTGCCTGCAATAAAGAGTGCCGTTGCTAGTAGGAGCCAAGAAGGTTACGATTTTGTGGTTTCGTAGGCAATTTATTCAAGATTATCCTTCTTCGACGGGTCACAGCATGATCTTGACCGAAGTTGCTGCTCTTGAACCGCTGCTGTCCTTAACACCACTACTCCTACGATGACGACGACGAAACGACTACTGGCTGCTGCTGCCGGTGTTCTACTCCGACAACCCCGCCCCCCCCTCCCCCTCTCACCGAGACGAGCAGGCGTCCTAGTGACCGGCGTCTCCCAGACGGACCTCGGGGGCAACGTGCCGCTGTGGTTTCAGGGCCTTGTCAAGAAGGCCATGACTCCCACAGCAAAAGTCTCTAACCAAAGCGATTGCAATTTAGGGGTTGGGGGTTCATTGAAGTGAGGGACCTATTCTTCTGTTCTTTCAACAATGTTGACTTGGCAGGTGAGAAGTGTTGTTCATGATGTCGATGGCGTGGTGGTGGCTGCTACACCATGATGTTCCCGGATGCTCTGCCGTGATGTGGGTGAAAACAGTGGTGATCACGTGGGAAGGACACCGTTGTTGAGATTACAAGGATGTAAGAAACCGAGGGGCGCAACGGCTGTTCGGTACGACGGGATGCTTGACGCAGTGCAGGACTGCACGGTGAAACGCAGTGTGGCGTGAGAGTGTGGTAGTGTCATGCTGGCTCCAGTGGGACACATATTGCTTGCCGGGCTCATGAGTTCAGTGAATGGGGTAGTGATATGATGGCTGGAATCCCCCTTTCTGAAGCAAGCTGAGTGACCAAAGCCTTTGTCTGAGAGACATTCCGACTAACACATGGTGGCAGAAGGAGAAGCGGCGAGAAAAAAAGGGTCCTTATCCTACACAGAAGCCCTAAACCCTGAAAGCCGAACACCCCAAACCCCCTGAAAGTCAAGAACCCCCAGACCTAACCCAAAAATTTCAAACGCTAATCCCAAAATCCTGAAATCCAAAATTCCCAACAGCCGGGTTCTCGTTCGGAATGCACGCTTGCAGGCCGGACGCAGGAAACCTGTGGAATGGGCGCAGCGGCTAGAGGACATCTCCGTTGAAGTGCTCCTACAAAAGGGGTTTCTGCAGTTATGGTGGTCGTGTGTCGCGATGGTGATGGTGCTAAGAGGAAGGACAATGAATCGGTTAAGTATCAGTCACCGGGCCTCGTTTCTTTTGGTCTAGGTCAGACCTGCATCGAATTGAACCAGTTCCGGAAGAAGCACTCGCGGAGGTAGCTGCCAGTGTAGATGTAAATATCCGGAATCTGCGTCACTTGTATCGTACGTATGCGAAGTATGACTCCAAGTGCGACCTGCCGAAGAAGCCGAACAGGACCACTGCAACATGAGGGCAGGTTTAGACGTGGCAAGCCAGAAGCTCAACTCCTGCTTGCAAGCGGTTTCGGGGTATGACAAAGTACATTCAGGCAAAACAACGACTAGGTCTTGGAATACTCGTCGTGCAGTGCTCCGGGTAGAACGGAGTCGATAGGTATTGGTAGGCTGCACCGCGATGCCAACAAGGGGCAATCCTGAACCCGCGCTGCAAAACCGCAAATCCTACATAAGAAGGGGTCCTAAACAATTACCTAAACTGTTTTGGGTTTTTTTTATTATAGCTGTAGTATAATGGGCCCCAAAACCCTATCCTAATTATTACGGCCCGCCGCTTTTCTAGACCCCAACCCCGAAGCCCACTCCTGAAGACTTTTCTCTCCAACCCTGAACTCTAAATGTCTGAAAGTCTAGGCTGCTCGTTTTCCACGGCCATCTTGTGCAATGTAGAAACCTGAGGAACCTTGGGCCTTTATTAGGTTTCCTTATATGGATCCGACTATTTTGGGGTTATAGGCTCAGGGTCTCTTAATCAGGTTCCTAGATTATCCTGAAGTGAGTTGTAGTCCTGTTGTATGAAGTTCACGTAGTCCTGTTGTATGAAGTTCACGTCTGCTGCGAAGACCTGGAGCGGAGCATAGCCTTAAACCCCCTGCTTTCTTGGGATTGTCGGGAGAGATAGGCCAGTAGTGGGGCCAAATGTATGGTGTTGGTGGTGGAATCCCTGTCTGCCCCTCCCCCGTCACCATCCCTCAGCCAGCGGCATTCCAGGGCAGAGGAAAAGAGTGGTTCAATACAAAGGCACCACTAAACCCCTAAACCCTAAACCCCTCCACCCTCAAATTCCTAGTTCGCCTGAAGAGCCGAGTCACTTCAGGCCCGAGCTCCGGCACCCCGAAGCCCGCAGCCATAAACCCCAAGGAGGAGTCACTGGTTCTGTATTCTAAGTCCTGCACTGAAGCCTGAGGGTTTAGGGATATTAGGTTTACTGAAGGGGCTTAAAATAATTACCAATACTGTTTTCAGGCTTCCTTCTTATAAAGAGTAGTATACTGGCACCAAAACCCGGTTCTAATTATTCAGGCCCCTATATAAGGGTTTAGGGTTTCGGGAGTCAGAAGTCGTTAAATCCCCAGGTGGCAGTTTCTCTGAAGGGTCCACCAAAGGAGCCCCCACCCTCCCACGTGGCTCTCCGGAAGATCGTATCCAAGGGCAGACCTCTGAGTTTGGAGGAGTGCAGGCTTAATTTGGGAAAGTTCGTGTGCAACTCGCAAAAAAACCGACACCCTGAACCATCCCAAATTCTGAGCCCTGCAGCTTAACCGGAGCTCTTAACCGATGAGGTCGACGAAGGCTGACGTTTTCCGCCTTGAGAAGCAGAGCGCGAGGTGCAGCCGAGCCAAGCGTCGATCGAACAACTCCGATACAACCCTTGGTTTGGGGTTTAGGGGTTTAGGGGTTTAGGGTTTAGGGGTTTAGGGTTTAGAAGGCTTAAGGGATGAAGGGTTGGGGGTCTTCAGCTGGAGTTTAAACTCAAGGGCTCAGAGGCGTAGCGTTTTTTTACATACCGTTTCGGCCCATTGGCCTGGGTTTCTGTTCTTGATTTTACCCGTCTCTGGGATATGTTCACCTCCATTAGCTCAATCGGCTCAGGGGTCTGGGGTTTTACAGGTGGAAAGATCAGGGTAGGGTTTAGGGTTTAGGGTTCAGGGTATGGTAAAGGATCGGGGTTTCAGAGCGTGGAGTAGACAGAGAGCCGGGGTTGAATGGAGTTCTTAATGCTGTCTTGAAGGCTTCGGGAGTGCGACGCTTATGGAGAGCTAAGAACAGGATCCCTCCATGGTGGCATTACTGACCGTACCCTTACTCGTATCGTGTCCTAAAAATGGTCGCCGTTGTTCTTGCAGCCATTCTCACTGTTGGTGTTTGACTAGGGCATGTTGTAACCTGCGCTTGAATGAATGGGTGTGGACACTGTGATGATCCTTCATCGCTTTCCTCGCCTGTCAACGTTTTGGCCTGTTTGGGTTGATATTTTGTTGCAGGTTGGAGGTTTTCTGAAGGGTTGCACCTCAAATTCCTCACGGAACTGCACCTGCTGACAGGCTGGACCAAAGAGTTCGGGGCCCAGCATCCTCGGAACGGGTTACCGAGCCATGCCTCAGCCAGCTGAACCGAAGTACCTTCACCCAAGTAACCCTCAAACCTCAACCCTAGACTTGATCCCTTCAGCTTTACGCCCGCACCTGGAAGCCGCGCGCTTCTTCCAACGTGACATTGAATCTATTTCAACAATAACAACAGCAGCAACAGCAGCAAACAAAAGGTGCAATTGCTGGTAAGTTGTCGGGGATGGTGGCACGAAGAACAATACGTGCCGGCGGACTTTACAGAGGGATGCGCAAAAGCAATCCCAGCTGCGGTATTCTTCATAGCGACCATTCGCAGTCGTAATCGACTATCGTCGTCATCCTTGGTCCAAGTTCTTGTCGTCATCAGATGTCTCGTCATCACCTATGCATGAAACTTCCCCCCCACAGCATCGGCATAATCACCGCAACCGTGGCCATCTCCGTCCAGCTCAGAAGCTGCTGCTAACCTGCAGTATTATCGTATTCTTAATATATTCATGCCGATGATCACTTATTATTAATTGGCCCTCTTTGGTCTTGAGATCCAACTTGCCCGAGGCTAGCACAGAGCCCATGCTTCCCCCGCGACGGGGCCACCACGAGGCCGCCAGTTCCTACTCGTACCGCATGTTGCTATTGCTATCTATTAATTAAATGATAAATGATTGTTATTACTATCCTTATGGTTGTTTTTTGGGCTAGTGTGGTAGTAACGAATAGGTACTGTTGCTGCAGCTGCTGCCATTACCGCTGCTACGATGGCGAATGCTTCCACTTCCCACCAGCCCTGCAAGTGGCACCAGCAGCAGCTGCAACATCAGAAGCAGCGGCATAACTAAATCGACCATAGGACACCACCATCTTTGCGTGTTGTCGAGACCGATCCAACTGCACCAGGTGAACCAAAGATATTTCTTGGCAGACGGGGGAACGACAACATAATAAGAGCATAGACTCTTCAATTGTAAGCGCTCTGCGACATTGATAACATCGCAGCGCCTTGCGCAGTGTGAGTGTGGGGCGTCTACCTGTACCTAACTGAGGATGTCACGGAGGGAGTTACTTGAGGTCGGCAAGCAGCCGCAACACACTTTCCGATAGGCGGATTCTACCGGTCTCAACAACGAGGCGAGAGGACAAAGCCCTATTCCTATTACTTGCGAGGCGGTCAAGACCTGCTTCGCCGACGCGTGGCTCCTCGCTGGACTCCCAGGAGACTTTTGAGGGTCTGTGGTTTGGGGCAGGGGGGGTTTAGGGATTAGGGTTGAGGGATCACGGTTTAGGGGGTAGTGGTGCAGAGCTTCAGGGCCATTTGAAGGTTTATGCGCCAGAGCAACTCCCAGTCAGAGCTCTTCGACGAAGGTTGTTCCGTCGTAGTTGATCAGACGCATGCCGCGTTCTTGATGCTAGCCTTATCCACATGCGCTTGCATCTGGCAACGAATTTAGGTATAGAGGGGCATACTGTATAGATGTTGTGGAGCCTGCGTGTGTCCGAGGTATCTGCATGAGCCGTGTCAGTGACGGCAGAATGTGGTTCCACACATACCTGATTTGCTCAGGTCACATCAGCCACAGCCCGGCCGTGTACAGGCAAATTCTTTGTGAGCGACCCACGCCTAGGAGAACTCGAATAGATCTTTGCTTTTGTCCTGCGCTAAGTGTTTTGCAAGTGACCGGGGGCAGGGGGACGGCAATGCGTCACTTGAGCTGCGCACAGCGCAAAGTCTGCCTCAAGAACCTGCACTTTTTGCTGGACTGGGGGCTGACATGCCACGTAGTAGTAGTAGTAGTAGTAGTAGTAGTAGTAGTAGTAGTAGTAGTAGTAGTAGTAGTAGTAGTAGTAGTAGTAGTAGTAGTAGTAGTAGCAGTAGTAGCAGTAGTAGCAGTAGTAGCAGTAGTAGTAGTAGTAGCAGTAGTAGCAGTAGTAGCAGTAGTAGCAGCAGTAGCAGTAGTAGCAGTAGTAGTAGTAGTAGTAGTAGTCGTCGTCGTCGTGGTTAGCAGTGGCAGTCGTCGTTGCAGTAGCAGCAGTAGCAGGGGAGCTGCAAGAGCCAGGAGTTCGGCATCTAGGCAGAGTTGCATTGTGCCAGTTCTCCGTGTTATCTGGAGGTGCGCATGATCAAGCCGATGGACTACATTCACGCATACAGACAGGTACATCCTCTTCTGTTTGCATAGAATATCTAACTATGCTACACTAGGTATGTGTATGCATGTATAAGTATTTATGTCTATGTATGTACCTATGTATCTAGGTTTTGGAGGGTTGGGCTCCGCGACCTCTCCAGTCTACAGGCATCTCGGTCCCCGAGCTCAGCAAGCCCCCTTGCCGGCCCTTGCGTTTTGCGTTCACCCCACGGGCGAAGCCCGGGTGATTCTGCCCACAGTCATACCATGACAGCCACACTAAGTATCTTAGCGGCAATGACAGCGATGCTGATAACCGGGATGGTAACATTCGTCTTTGAGAAGCCCAATCAGGATCAGCAGCATAGCGACAATCGCCGTTGGTGCAGGCCTTCTTCCATGCTTTTCCGCGCTCCGGCAACAGCGGAGCGCTTTGGAAGGCCTTGTCTGCAAGGATGGCCCGACGACCTGTGGAGTATGCTGCCTTCTTCGGAACTGGTTTCCTGTGCACACCAGCCCAAGAAAGTACAACAACCAGCCTGAGATCGTTGGCGCATCGAGAACAGGTTCGTTATACTGCAGTACACACGACAATACAGTGAAATGCACTTTTGCTCGCCCTTACCGTGCCCGTAGCAAAGCAGAAGCGATGACCTTAAAATGTATCCATTTCGACAAGTTTGGACGGGCTGCTCCCGGTGGACGTAAAGATGCAGCGATTGCAAAGCACCTGTTCATATTGAACAGATTTTGCAGATGCCCTGCAGAGCAACCGCGAGCAGTTGCAGAGGTGCGAGCAAAAAGATTGGCCGTCGAGAAAGCACTGCCAGTTATCACATCACAGTATCCTGCTCCGGTTTAGGATAGACTGGATGGCGCATTTATGCAGCGGCAAACTGAGCCTCGCTAATGACTAATGATAGCTCTATGACAAGCTGGAGGCTGATGGACCTGAGCCGAATGCAGAGAAACGCGAAAGCTCGAACCCTAGCACTATAGTTCACTATAGGGGCTTAAATAATTACCAATACTACTTTGAAGCTTCCTTATTTTAACTATAGCAGAATGGCCCCAAAACCCGGTTCTACTTGTTAAGGCCCCCATATTAGAATCCTCACGTGTTGTGCCGCCCGCAGCCTGCGATTTCACATTTTTCTCAGCCCAGCCTTTTCCAGTACAGCTCAAGGATCCTTGGCCAAAAAAGAACTGCGACGAGAGGCGGTTGTACCAAAAAGAGGTGATCATGTAAGATCCTTTCGCATGTCATGTTGCAGGAGTGCTGCATCCAGGCAACTCAGGCAACATCGGAGTTTTTTCGCTCTCTCTCTCTCTCTCTTTCCTTCCTTCCTCGTCGCTTTTCTCGTGATTCGTGTAGATGCAGTTGAACAGCGAGTCCACTTATCTGTTCTGACATCGTGGCAATCCCGCCACCCGCGTTGATTCAAGCCGCGAGCTCCAGAAGAACTCCAAAGCTTCCTGGGACCCCTACCCTATAATGGGCTCTATAATGGGTATATAATGGCTATGTTAAGGGTACATACCTAGGGGTCGGGTGTGTTTTTTCGGGTTCGAGCTCGCGTGTGGGGTGCCGAGTTCCGGACGATTTCGGTCACCGCGACCTCGGATTCGTCAGATGCCTGGGCCAGAAAAATAACCCGAAGCCCCCTGATCTTAACCCTTAAGCCTATTCTGATTATCAAGGCCCCTACCATATAGAACCCTATTATAGATCCCTTATAGAGTCCTTGAAAGGAACCCTTAAAAGGATCCCTATTCAAATCACACGGTCTGAAGCTTCTTGCCAAGGATCAGCTGAACTTTTAACGATGGCTGCGCCGTACTTGGAGGAGCCCCTCTACGCCTTTTGGAAAAACGAGGGCGCCGGCGAGGACAGCTGAGAGAAGACTGAGGGATTTTTCGCCCGTACACTGTAAGCTATGTAGTCTTGAGTCTTCTGTATGAATTCAGCCTTGTGCTTTCGAAACGGGAACAGACCGGGAACAGACGTGCTTCATGCGGTTTAAGGTGTTCTGTTTTCCGGTTTAGGCTTTTGGGCTTAGGGGTTTCATGGCAGTGTTGGGCTGATGTTTTGAGTGCCGCTTTGGGCGCGTGGTAAAGGAGGGTAGCCCGAAGGTTCAGTCACATATTTGGGCCATAGGCACCGTGGGTTTCCAGAGTTGCTTATTATAGCTAAAGCTATGTGGTTTGTAGCCCTTCTTCTACCGAACTGTCAGTTAACGCCTAAGCAGGGCCTTCATGTTTAACGGAGATCAGCATTTGGGGCATCGGACTACGATGCTCCCCCGTCTCCTTCGGGTCGGGGAAGGGGGCGCGGGTAGAGGCGGCGGGAGGTGGGTGGAACGGTTCTGTCAGTTCAGCAATCAGAAAGTGTGCGTGCGTGGACTGTTTTCAAAACAAGGATTCCTTGAGTAAGGGATAGAAGCTGCTGCACTACAGCACTTTTAGTTAGAAGCGACAACAGGCTAAAACAATCCTCAACCTGCAGTTGCACCATGGCTTCAACCTTAACCCTCACCTGCCCTGATTCCTGAGCCCAAGTCCCAGTACAAACCCTGGACAACCTGAGCCCTTAAAAACCCTGCAACCGGAAATGAGGACACTGCCGAGACTCCCGGCATGCGCGTGGACGTCGAGACGCAGGGCCGCATCTCTCAAGGTTTGGCATGTGACCTGTGCTGGCCTGCCCATAGTTCGAACACACACACACACACACACACACACACACACACACTTGTTGAGTCGTGGGTTCCTGAAGCACTACTATCGCTAACTGTGAACATCAATGCATCAAAGCCACATCCGCAGCAGCTGCGAAAAGAGAGGGAGGATCCCGCATCAAGGTCTGCAAGTTCCAACCTTTTTGTCATCAATGATGCTGGCAAACGTCATGCAAAGGCAAACGGCATGAGCCAACAATCTAACAAAAAGGCCAACAAAGCTCAAGCTTAACACGCGAAGCCCAAGGCTAGAAGGTTTTGTCCGTTCACTTTTCTCGTGGTCTTTCCGTGCACTCCTGCTTGAAATCTTTGTAATGATATCTTGGGAAAGGCCCCTTGTACACCTCTGACCTGATTCTTTGGAGTGCTGTATGCCCTGGAAACTCAACCGAAACACCTCACCCCCTTGTCGCATGAAATCCGCCTCCATGTCGAGCACCTCCCCAAAACACGAGGCTCTCTACCCTCCCTAGCTCTACCCCCCCACCCCGAAGCCTTCCCAGCCCTTGGATGGCTGAGGAAGTATCGCATGAAGTACCGCTCCTATCGGCTTGGCTATGCGCTAGCAGCGAAAGGACTCCGAAGCCCGGAAGGCCTGAATTCTCGGACGGAAACATGTTGATATCATGGATTCAAAGGTTTTTGGTTTAATACAGGCTAGGAAGACCGTTGGCTTGTCGCTACTGTGATTGCTGTTGTTGACGGGTTTGTCGTTGTACTATACTACTATTGGAGGATATTTAGGATGAGCGCTGCTATTGGTATGCTCGTTCTGTTGACGTTGTGTTGATAATTGCTGGCCAACGGGGCTGGAAGTAAATTGAGGCACTTAGTACCACAGTTACCACAGCCAAGCCCGAAGCTCGACTTGAACCGAAGGACAGGTCACCGACATTCTGCAGGACGCTGCAGATCGGCTGTGAAGGCTAAATGGTCAATGCCTTTAGCTTAGTAGCTGAGCAGGTGACCTTTAACTTTTTGGGGTTTACATAATCATTCAATCCTGCAGCTCCTGCGTCCTAAGTTAGAGACGAGGGTTTTGAGGGTCTTTTTGAGGGTCTTTTAGAGCAATGGGCTTGGGGCCAGGCCCTTCGGGCTAAGTGGGGACCGGGTTGAGGGGATTCAGGGGTTTGGCTACTTGTAAGGGTCTTGGTCGGATGTATCTGGGGCCGGTGAGGTTCAGCACCACGCAGTAAGGATGAGGGTGACGTTGAGAATGATTCGCAGCTTTGTGCTGACGAGTCTAGCGGTTGCAGTCGTCACTCTTCCCGCTGTGATCTGTGGTAAGCCTCCCTGTCTGCTTCTTGGTAGGGGTTGGGGGAATGGACTATGGAGACTATCATTGATGATCATATAGGGACTACTATAGGGATCCGTTCCCCCATTTCCTACTAAGCACCAGACAGCTCATGGCTAATGTCGCGCAGCCAAGGAGAAGGACAGCACTCTGGAGTCCAAGCACAAGATCTCGACCGCCCGTGAAGAATTCTGGCCTACTTGAATTGAAGGCTCATGGGAGTTAGTAAGTAAGGTTATAAGTAGGTTATAATTATAACCCCACTTAGGGGACTTATAACCCCAATTATAACCTACTTGACTCGGTTCTCTTTGCGTGAACTTCATGCCGAGGGCTTTGCTTTAATAGTTGCCAATACTATTTTGGGGCGGCTCCTGGTTATAATTATAGTATAACGGGCGCCCAAACCCTATTCTACTTATTTGGTTGTTTTGGGCATGTTTGGAGGTCTTACCGTGTTTTTTCCTGTTCGATTTCACAGTGTGGCTGACTTTGTCGATTTTGCTTTGGGGCTTTTCTTCACAGTAGTGGTTGACATCGTCGCGCAAACGGTGAGATCTTTGCATCCAAGGAGAAGGATGTTGTCGACGCTGGGCTGGAATGGAGAATAAGGGGAGATCAGCATAATGTGTAATAATTGTGGCTGTATTATTTGTTATACTAGGTCCTGGGTACAGTTCATGATGTGGCAAAAATTTCGAGTTTTTGAAAATTATGATTTTTTGCTAATATGTTACGTGTTATTCTTTATGAATATATTACAGGGGAAAGGATTTCCCTGTGGGTAGTGGATCTGCCGGCAGCTGTGGCTTTCTCTGGCAACAGGTTTTTTGTTTTCAAGGCAGTCAGGGTATGTGGAGTCGAAGCGGATGATCCGGATCCCGTTTGTAGTACCATGTCTTCGTCTTCTTCGGGGCGTTTCTTGTGCTGCCTTGGCTCGGCGGAGTAATTTTCGACAGCGGTGATCTAGGCTGGCCATCACACTCTGGAAATTGCGAAGTGGTTGTCATAGAATCCCCCATCTGATGCCATGCTTCTGCCTGTGAGCCCCATGTATGATCGTGTCTTTTGGGATTGAAAGCCTCAGGACAAGTCGCTACCGATCGACGAGCCGCTCTTCCACCACCTGAGCGACACCAAGCGAGCCGAGATCAACAAGTACCGGGAGGATTACCGCAACCGGTCTCAGGGTTTCTGGTTTAGGCTGCGGGGTTTGGCGTCCGTATGCAGTGGATTCCAGAAACACTGCAGCAAATGCATAGGAACGCAGACGGACCACTCGCAAGCAAGCTTGCGGTCATGCCCATTGCTGATGGCCCGGAGAGTTTTAGGAGAACATCCCATGGATTGGCTTTAACAACTGATTCAGTAACTGATTCAGATTCCAGCCGTTTGCTGATAGGGCGGGGCTTGGGAGAGCATCCTAATATAGGAGCCTAAACAATTACCTGTACTATTTGGTGGTTCCTGATTAATTATAGACTTTAGTAGAATATCACCCAAAACCATATTCTAATTATTAAGGCCCCTATATTTGCCTTTATAAACTCGTACTCGAACGCTTGAGGTAAGTACCGCCTTGGCTACGCTTCTGGAGCCAAAGGCGAAGTTGCCGACCTCTTCAAAAGGCAAATTTCTCAGAAGGCACCGAATTTCCGTTAGTAAGTAGGGTTCTCAGTACCTTACTTGGGGTTATAAGCACTTGTAACTGTAGTTACCATACCCCGGTTACTAAGTCCCGAGTTTTGAAGCTTCGGAGGCGCTCCGAGAGTGGAGTGAGGGACTTCAGGGCACGGTTGCTTCGGTGCTGCATGGAAGTCGGTTCATGTTTCAGTGGGTTTAGGATTTAGGGAACACTTCTTCCGGCCGGTGGTGCTCAGCACAAAGCAGCTTGAATCTGATGCAACTCCACTTAGAGGATCATGGGACTTAGTAAGTAGGTAATAATTGGGGTTATAAGTCCCCTAACTGGGGTTACCCTAATTATAACCTACTGCGTGAAGCATGCCGGAGTGTAGCACGACAGGTCGGAATCCGTGAGGCTGCTTTGCTCGAAAAAGTTTGTGGAGGCGACGAGGCCTTCCGAGTCGTGTGGTCGCATTTGGTTTAATCACTTAGGTTATCCTTCTAACCTTTGGGGTTTTATTCACGTAGGTTATCAGCCGTAGAGGGCTCTTAGGCTAGGTGGCTAGTTTAGGGTCTGATCTGTAGTCGTCCTTGCGATGGATCCGATGGTTCGCTCGAGAAGAGGAGCTGCGGGGCAAGGCGAGCCAGTGGCTACGGGTGCTTTCAGCGAACAGCTGGAGCAAGAATATTCAGCAGCTTTGAGTCAAGCAGACTCGGGGATTGTTCCCCGTGGTTCGAGTTATGTTGATCAGGGAGCGTGTCCACCTGGACTGCGGAGTGCGGTAGCTCCGGGGCAAGCATCGCCCGGTACCTTGGAACAGGGTGGAGTTGTGGGTGGTGCAGCCGGCGCGTCTACTTCGTCTGTAGGTGGTATCCCGTCTCTCCCTACTGCCAGTCCATTTCATAGTGCACGAGTTCAAGAGGAGGTGGCGCTTCAGCGGAAGCGGCCCTCTGGATTAGACCAAGAGCAAGCGAGAGTGGGATCCGGGAACCTGGATATGGAAGGGGGCCTGGAGCCCAACTATTCGGCCGCTTTTGATACTGCTGAAAGGTTTGGCCCACGAGTTGCGAGAGTGGAAGCTGTTGGTCCTCGGGAAGCCGCTACTCTGGAAGGTTCCGTTGTGGGACCGGGAAGAGAAGGAGTTTCTACTGGGATGCCAATGTTAGAGGAAAAGCGTGACTCTGCAGCGGGGTTGCAACCGGGTGTGGCAGTTGAGGGGCTGGACCCTCCGGATGATGATGCGCCGGAGCTATTGCCAGATAACGATAGAACTGCGAGACTTGAACAGGTTGTGGCACAACTCATTGATGAGAACCGTTCGTTGAAAAGACGGGTTGAGCAAGCCGAACTGAGATCGCATTCTAGCTGGCACAGCGGTACTCCGGGCGAAGTGTTGGCCTCGCCTATGTCTTTTGCGATGGATGGCGGACCCCGGGTAGGGGAAAATGTACAGACGTGGTCTGAACTGGGCCGTTTCATAGGTGTGCCTCCGGGTGGCCTCGAAGGGGCTGTGCCGGCCAATTTCCCAGGTCTGAGAAATGATGTTGCTACATTCGGGAGCGTAGGATCGGTTCCGGGTTCGGGGGAGCAGCAAGCTCTCAGGAATGCTGGGCTTCCCACGGTCGCCTCGGTGGCATCAGGGCAAAGGGCTATGGGGTTAGAGTTGGTTCCGGTTATTGGGGAAAGTTCGATTGAGAAGGGTCCTTCGGAATTATGGCAGTCTTCCGGGGTACCGAGCGCCCCACCTCTTCCTCTACCGGGTATGGGGTATGAGGCTTCGTCTAACATTGCAGCTAGAGGGACTCAGTCTATGAGGCAGTTTGCTCCCAGGCAATAGCCGAGGCTTCAGGGATGTCTGGGGGTTTTCATACGCCTAGATCGTCTGCAGGGGGTCATATGGGTTTCGACGCTCAGGGGTATCCTATTTCTCCAGGAGGAACTGTTATTCGGCCGCCGCCGCTCCCGCCGCCCAGGGTGGAACCTTTCCTTCAAGGGGCAGGGTTTGGGGGGCAGGGGGTAGGCATCGGAGGGGTCGGACAAAGGGTTGTTGGGGATGTAGTGAGACCTGAGGAACCGGCAAAGTATATAAATGAATTGCCTAAGTTGAATCAAACTGAACTCTCCCAATCTGCCGTAACCTGTGGTAACTGGTTGGCGCAAGTTAGGCAGGTGTTGGTAGGTCTATCTCCGAGTGCGGATGTCTGGTGGAAAGGGGTAGAAGGGCCGGCTACGACAGCGTACCGTCGTTGGCTGGTTGCAGATCCGTTGGGAAGGTTGGGGATAGATCCTTCTACGGTTAGGGGGGAGTTCGATCCTCAGTTGTACGGTCGGGTAGAGTCGAGGGCTGTAAGTCTGCTCCTTGCTGCAGTGCCCCAGTCGGTAAGAGACGATGTGGTGACAAATAGGTGGCTGTCTAGTGCCGCGATTCTGTTTCGGATCTTATGCTTGTTTCAACCTGGAGGATCGAGCGAGAGGTCACATTTGTTGTCGCAGCTAGTTAATCCCGAGCAGTGTAAGACGTTTGGTGACGCAATCAAGGGGTTGAGGAAATGGCAACAAGGGTTACAGCGAGCAGGGGAGATACAGGCGACTTTACCTGATGCTTCTCTTCTGTTAAAGGGGGTGGATGGTGCTACTTCTAGCCTTCTCTCTGCTCATCCCATGATAGGCTTTAGGGTGAACGCGTTTAGACATCAGCTGGCTATAGATTATAACCCATCTGTGGCGAGTGTGGTGCAGCTCGTCCGACTTATACAAGCTGAATGCGAAGCTGGGTCGATTACTTCGGATGCTGTAAGCGACAAGCGGGCTAGAACAGCAGCGTTAACCACCCCAGGTCCTACTGGTAACCCGCCTTCGGCTAAGTCGGTTCCCACTCCCCCTCCGCCTCCTGGTGCATCGGTTGCGGCCGTAGCTACGGATAAAAGTGAGGGGAAGGGAAAGGGTGGAGGCAAAGCGAAGGGGGGTGACGGGGGGCAGCAACTGTGCCACAAGTTCTCAGACGCCTCAGGTTGTCGGTTCGGGGATTCGTGTATCTTTAAGCACGATAGGGCTAGGGCTAGAAGGGAGAATAAATGCCTTGCGTGTGGTCAAAGTGGGCATTTTAGACCAGACTGCCCAATCGTAGCCCCCGAGAATAGGCAGGTTGTTACGGATGGCGGTGAAGGATCTCCTAAAGCCGGGTCACCTAGTGGAAAGGGTGGTAGGGCTAAGGCGAAGGCTAAGTCTGGAGTGCAAGCAAAAGGCATTGCTGAAGAAGCGGGGGCGAGAGCCGAAGCTTCTGTGGCTAGTGCATCTGCTGGTAGCGCGAGTTCGGGAGCTCAGGCGAGTCCGGAGTTGCTGGTAGCAGAGGCTACTAGACTCCTAAAAGGGGTTTCCCTTAAGGTTCTTAGGGTTGATGATGAGGTTGATTTGGCCTGGGTTCGTAGTGCCCTAACCAATGCCTCGAATCCAGACTTCTGCCTCGTGGACTCCGGAGCGACTAATGCGCTGCGCCCGGCTAGTGATCAGGAAATCGGTACCTGTCGCACAATCCATGTTGATCTGGCGAGTGGAGGAACAGAGCTGTTGATTAACGAGAGCGGTACTTTGTTGCACTCGGGGCCATGTCAGGTTATCTTGCCTGCTAATTACTTGATTCAGCTTGGTTTCTCCATTGTCTGGAAGCGGCGAGGTTGCCGGATCAAACATCCCAAGAAGGGGTGTCTGGATGTGACGGTTGTAAAGGGCTGTCCATTGATTCCTAGGGAGGTTGGTTTGGCCTTACTGAGCGAGTATGAGGGTCGCCGGGTCGGGGCTCCATTGATCAGCAAGGTTGAGGTTATGGATTTGCAGACCGTCTTGACTCCGGAGCAGTCGCGTGTGTGGCTGCGAGATCGTCTAGTTCAGCGCGGGGAAGGTCTGACGGATGTTGATCAGTTGGTCTTTCTTCGTGGGATGTTTCCTGGGATTCCCATGGAGTTGTTGGCTAGGGCGTGTGTACCGGCATTGGATAGTGGCTTTGTAGACTGGGGTGAGTCGCCTTGGAATAGGCGTTTTAGGCGGTCAGTTGGCAGGGCTGCATCGGGATCTGTGCTGATTTCAGTGTCCTCTGGCCAAAGCTCGTGGAAGGGGCTCGGGAAGGTTGTAGCGGTATCGGATTCCGAAAAGGGTCTAGGGTCCAGGTTGGTCTTTCAGTTATTGTTGAACTGGGCTGAGAAAGGGAAGGTGGGCGGTTTGATTCAGGGGGATGGAGTGTTTGAGACTGGGGCGAAGGCCGGTGAGTTCTCTTGGGACTCGCAAGTCCATGCTAGCAGTGACTGGCGCACTCTTTGCGAAGGCTCGGTTAAGATTCTTCGGTGGTTCTTATTGTTTTCGGTTGCTCAGGCTAGCAAGGATGCGAGGTCTGAGTGCTTGCCGAACAGTGGGAAGAAAGAGTCTGCCCAGTCACCAAGTCCACCTGCATCAGCCGTTGCTTCCCGGGACCGGCGTACTTCTTCGGGGTCAGATCGGGACCACAGTATGGTGTTCATGGTATGTGGGTTTCCAGGGGATCCTAGGGTTCCGGTGAAAAGGGATGAACGAAGGAGGCCGTGGGACCCGGCGTCTGTGCTCTCGTTCGCGCAAGTGTACGAGTTGAATCGAGCTGAGTTTGATCAAAGCTGTTTCGGGGCATTGTGTATAAGGGAATGTGAACTCCTGACGTCCTCCTGGTTCCTTTATGAAGCGGTTCATGAAGTAAGAATGAGTTGGGAGGCGAAGGCGGCTTGGGAGCTCGTTCGGCCTGAAGGGATCTTACAGAGTAGGGTTCAGAGGCAAGAGGGATGGGCTACTGGCCTGTTGAGGGTTATTCAGGGGTCTTGGTGTCGTTGGTGTGCCCTGGGATGTCAAGCTGCGGAGGCTACAGAGCGTAAGCTTCTACTAGCGAAGATGACCGCAGAGGAATCTTATGCTAAACATGTGGCTAATGATCATGTGCCTTTCCTTAAGGGGTGTCCCGAGTGCATTCGTGCACAGGGTAGACAAAGGTCACACTGGC